ATTAGAAAAATCATTTTTCACATTTAAATGAAACTTATAATTTCATTTATAAATAATCTTTCACTCGTGCATTGCACGGGTAACAAATTACGGAAAGTGTTTATGTGTATAAGTACAATTGAAAGAAGACAAACGCAATGCTAATAAATTATACTATCGTACTACATATATGAAATGAAATATAAATGTGTTCAACTGTATATTAGTTGAAAAATATGAATAGTTAATCATTGATTTCTTAAAAGAGAGCGTGGATTACTTTTAATATTTCACAAAATAATATTGTTGAACTGTATCTATTAATTACGAGTGTGTTGGAAACTAACATGCATATCTAATTGGTCTCACCAAGTTTTCAAGTACCTATTAATAAAGGCGGAATTCCTCGAATAGGACTAAATGAAACTTGAATTGTTAACGTAAGACCATAACTTAAAAATTCCCCAAAATAGGACTAGTTTTCCATTCTACCCTTACTTTCTCTTAATACAATTCATATTTCATTAATATATAAAACATTAGTGTAATAACATAATTTTGTTTATAATAATATGTAAAGGAAATAAAAAAAGATGAAATAAATATTAATAAAATTAATAAAAATAAAAACAAATTAGAAAAACAAAAAATTTAAAATAAAAAACTTAAAAAAACAATATAAAATAAAAACGTAAAACATATTTAAAAAACGTAGGCCTATGTTGCCGCGCGCCTCACCAATCTCCCAGCACCACCAGCTTCAACCACCGGGAAAAAATGACTATATGTGTCAAAAATGTCATCTTGATGGCAGTTTTTGAGAAATTTTAACATTTTGAAAGAGTAAAAATTTCATTTTCATGACATTTTTTAGATAAAAAATGGCAGATTTACATAAAGTGACATATTTTTAGCCGATCAAAGGTAACATTGCTTGACGGTGGCTGAGAATGTGGGAAAGGCCTCCATATTTTTTTAATGTGGTTTATCTATTTATTTATTTATTTTTAAAGTTTCATTTTTTTTTAATTTTATTGTATTAGAATGATTTAAAAAATATTTTAGAATTGTTTTATATTTTATTCTGATTTTTTGTGTGAGTTAAAATATTTTTTATTTTTTTTGTTCTCATTGGAAATTAAAATTGATTATCTTATTAAGTTATGGTAAGGGTAGAATAAGAAGATATGGTACACTCTAGTTCTATTTTGGAAAGATAAACAACACATTCCTTTTTGTGTATTTAGGAATTAGTTTACTCCTATTTGGGGCTATTATCTCATTAATAGAACATTATAGAGAATTTCATAAAAGAGGGGTTAAGATAAAATGAAAATTAATATTTTATGAATAACATTTGTCAGGATGTTAATTAATAAACTAAAGTAAAAGTAATACGAAGTATGTCTTGTATATTATTAGAAGCACTGTTGCTTTAGTCCAAATTTCTAAAAACCTTCTTATAAATAATATTGGTTGTTCAATTTGTAGAATAACCATCTTTATCACATATTAAGATCTTCACACTTCGTCACTTCAGACACTCCAACATATAAAATTTTAACAATCCACTCACAAACAACCATGTTTGAAATGTATCCAAAATCCATTCACTACAACAAAATGGATATTTTGCAATGTATAAAAAATGTTACATTACACCATTTAAGGGTTACAAAAACTAATGCAAAACTTTATGAGCGTTACTTTATGTCTTGTTGCATAAAGTCATATGCAACATTTTTCATCATATTATGCAACATTAAATGGAAATGTTGCATAAAGATCTCGAATGCAACACTTTTTCCTAACACTTAAACTAGCATCTTATGCAACACTTTTTACAACACAATGCAACACTTAGGGCCTGTTTACCAACAGAGATATTTTCCAGTTTTTTAGAAAACTGGAAAACTGGAAGAAGGAAAACAAAAAACATGTTTACCAAAGAATATTACTGAAAAACTGGAGAATAGAAACTGCGTTTACCATATCGTTTTCAAAAATGAAAAAATGAGATATGTCTCTCTTTTCCAATGTTCCTTAATAAATTGGAGAAGTGATTTTTACCAGTTTTCCAAATTTGGAAAACACGGATGCTGCAGTGTCGTTGCAATGAATTTGCATACTTACACCTAGTGGTGCATCCGGTCCCGCTTCAGTGTCAGTTCCAGTCTGGTCAACGACCCTACGATCCCTATTTGCTTCGGTCAATGACCTGGCGGTCTGATTCGGTCATTGACCCGGCGGTCCCTGTCCGATCCAATCGTTTGTCGAGCAATCTCGATCTGGTCCGGTCGATGAGCTGATGGTCCCGATCCGGTCTGGTCGGCGACCCAACGGTCTCTGTCCAATCCATGACCCAACTGTCCGGTCCAATCCACGACTTGGTGGTCCTTGTCTGATCTGATCGATGACCCAACGGTCCCTGTCTGATTCGATCGATGACCCGACGATTCAAGCGGTACCTGTTCAGTCCGTTGACGGGTGAATAGTCCTGGTCTGATCTAGTATGGTCAACGACTCGGCGGTCCTCGTCTGATTTGGTCAACGACCCAACGGTCCCTACATGGTCTAGTGACTGACTCGACGGTCTGATCCGGTCATTGACCTGGCGGTCCCTGTCCGGTCCGATACAGCCGCGCAATCCTGGCTTGGTCCGGTCCACTACACCGCGACCCCTGTCCTGTCCGGTCCACAAACCGACGGTCCCTATCATGTCCGATTGATGACCCAACGGTCACTGTCCTATTCGATCAATGACCTGACGGTCCCTGTCCGGTCTGATCCACAACTAAGCGGTCCTGGGCCAGACCCGTTAATGACCCGACGTTCCCTGTTTGGGTTGGTCAATGATCCGACGATTTAGTCTCGGTTATTTGAAATCACTTTTTAAAGTGAAGAGTTTTAAAAAATTTGTTGAGTTGACAACCAATAGAGAAATCGGAAAAGAATTCATCAAACTAACCGTTGAGATCGACCGGGCCCGATCGGTTTCGGTCCCGAATTTCCTATACATGGGACCTGGTACCCTACTTGTGTGGTACTATGTTTGATTTCGGAATGAGACCATACTTTCAGTCTACTAAAACCGGGTGAAAAAGTTTGATGAACATGTTTTCAGATTTGAAAATGAAAAACTAAAAAATGAAAACATAAAATTGGAGATAGAAAAACTGGAAAATGAAAACAGAAAATCGGAGAACGGAAAACAGAAATAGAAAACTGGAAAACATCTCTGTTAGTGAACAAGCCCTTATTATTTGAATTTAGGCAACACTTTTCTAATGTATATGTAACACCCTTGCTATATTATTTTGCAACAATAATTATATTACGTAACTAACATTTTCATCCATGCTTTTAGCAACATTTTGGCAACACAGTTCTAGAATTATAAGCAACACTGTTTCTGGAATTATGCAACTCATATGTGATCACTCACTCATATATGCACTACATATGCAACCTTTATATTAATTATTCATTTATAATAGGAATTCCAACAACATATTTGATGCTCGGGAAGAAAAAGACCCTAATCACTTGTCTAAAAATATCCTAAAAACCTTAACATGTCTCCAACATTTTTTTCTGATCTTCCTCTTCAAACTTCTTTCAAATGCTCATAATTGTATCCATGTCATTGGGAGTCATGGAATAAAATAGAATGTCGAATCTCTTTCTGATTTGCAAAGTCTTCCTTGGTAATAACAACCCCTCCACAAAGAGCTAAAACCAACCCAAAGAATAAATCCCTCCCCAAATAAGTCTAGTAAGAAAACAATATCACCATCTAGGAATGGACCACACTTAAATTACATCAAGACATTTATATATTACCTCCTTCATATATAATAAATTTTAGTAATCATGATTATGCTCGATTTTAAGAAGGTTATCTACTAATTAATAAGATGCAAATTGTATGTGGTGGTGTCAATCACTTCTTGCTAATATTCTTCTACTTGAATGTTTGTTGTACGAAATTAGGATGTTTTCTTTTGGACTGCAATTTACTGGTCTGAATCGGTCTTGTCTGATCTGTGTGTATTTTATAATTATAGAAGTGTGGTCTGATCTGATCTGATCTGATCTAGTAAGTCTGGCCTGGGACTGGAAATGGTCCAAAAGAAATTAAAACATCCTTATACTCTCTGTATGTGGTACTCACCTGTTCAAGTACACTCTACCATGCATTAATGTTTTTTTACTCCTGGGGGCATCTGGGGAGGGGGGCTTGGGAGGCCTGAAGTAATAAGGCGTGAAACTCACTCCCTTGAGTTTCAAACCCTTACGTGCCTAGTGGATTTCGAATTCGAGACCTCTCACTAGGCACGATAACCTCACAACCAGCTGGGCTAGATTGCTTGGTTACCATGCATTGATGTATACAATAGTTTTAACTTTTTATTTTGCTGATAAATGGCAAATTTGCGCGATGACGAATCCTTAAATTTGGCATTAAATAATACAAGATAAGCAGTGAACGTGTTATGAAGAAAATAATATGAATATTGAATAGTGTAGAAAAAAGGTAAAATGTATGAAAGATAACAGATAGGAAATGTGAGAAAGAGGAGAAAAAACAGAAAAAAATGCAAAGAAGAAAACGATGACGTAACGTAAAATTAATAAAATGAATATAGAACAAACAATAAAATTCTTTCCAAAATGAAAGCTCTAAAATAAATTAACAAAGGAATTATGTGATTTCCAAATTAAAGTTATAGAATTCAATGAAAAAATATTACCCTTATTCCAAAATAATTGCTCCGATTTACCATTCACACTCAAACTTAGGAAAACACTTTTAATTCTAATTTTATGTATCAATTTTTTTGTCACATGCAAAAATTCTTTTTTCTCAATTAAATGAAACTTATGATTTCATTTATCATATGAATATTATAACCATTTATTGTGTCCTTAAAACAACTATTTATTGTGTGTTGTGGACATAAGGCCAATATATCCCACAGTTAATTGGGCCTATGACCATTCTGATTACCACACTTCCCATCCAAAGCCCTAGCCCATCACCGTATATATGCGGAAAGGCTTTTCGGTCTCTCGCTCACAGTTCACCGGATCAGCCAGAAGACAAGGAAAATGCCGGCAGGTCACGGAATACGGGCTAGGACAAGGGATCTCTTCGCCCGTGGCTTCAGGAAGCGTGGGGCTATCCCACTCTCCACCCACCTTCGCGTTTTCCACATCGGCGAGTATGTCGACGTCAAGGTGAACGGCGCCATCCACAAAGGCATGCCTCATAAGTACTACCATGGACGCACCGGTTGCGTCTGGAACATCACCAAACGCGCCATCGGCGTTGAAGTCAACAAACAAGTACCCTCTCGAATCTATTTATCTATGATCTGTACATCGCTACTACGATCTTTTCAGCTTGTTTTGTTTTATCGCTTGTTCAGAGGAAAAATGATCATACGTCTAATTTCATCTCTTTTTAGTTGTCATCTTTACGCTATCTGTAGGCATTATTGACTCGCCAATTTCCAATAATTTTTTTTGTAGAATCTGTATGTAGCTGTGGCTGAAAATCCTAATCGCGCGATACAAGCTTAACATATATATGTGCGTGCGTGTGTAGTTCGAATTTGAAATGATACTGAAAAAAGAGATTTTTTCAATGATATTGGATTTTGCACTCCCATAAAGAAATTTTTCTTCACAAAATGTTACGTGATAGGATGCAAAGTCAAAGCTTTTTCAAAATGGGGTGCAAAGTCCAATATCACCCTATGTTTGGGGGTACAAAGTCAATATCACCCTAAGTGGGGTGAGAAGTACAATATCACCCTAAGTGCGGTGCAAATTCAAATTCGCCATTACTTTAAACCAACTTTGAGGTTCATAGCGGTACCATTTCATATCTTACTGTGTGGTTGTAGCCTGTACGATTTATGGTCATCTCATGAATTGACAATGGAAATAGTAATATGCATGAGTGCTATAAAGTGATCTGCCCTACATATCATCATCTATTAATTTGGACTTCTTCTCTTGGCTGGCCAAATATTTTTGAAGCTCTCTTTTGTTTGATTCAAGGTGGGCTGTGTTCTCATGCCATTCTCATTACAGAAAAGCTAATACACAGATTTTAGTATTTTTCTACAAGCACATCTCAGGTGCAAGATCATCTATTTTTAATGAACAAATTATTCTCAATCAATTTGATACATGATATTTTTATAGGTTCGCAACAGGATAATCCCGAAAAGGATCCATGTTCGAATTGAACATGTTCAAGCTTCAAGGTGCGCAGAAGAGTTTAAGTTGAGGGTAAAGAAGAACGATCAGCTCAAGGCTGAAGCCAAAGCAAGAGGGGAGGTGATTAGTACTAAGAGGCAACCCAAAGGGCCTAACCCAGGGTTCATGGTGGAAGGTGCCACTCTAGAGACTGTTACTCCTATTCCATATGATGTTGTCAATGATCTCAAGGGTGGATACTAAATTATTTGCTGATAAGTTATGTTATCCATATCATGAATGGTCAATGATAGTTCTAAGTAATAGTATTTTCTTGAAGTTTTTGTGTTCCTATTTTATCCGTTGTAGAACTTGTTTGCTGAATGTGTTAAGGTGGTTTACATTACAGAGCAAATTGCCTACCCATTCAGTTAGGATTTTGTCTTTTTTCTAGTCTCGATGTTCAGTTTTTGGTGTCTTGACTAGCCATCCTCTCTTGCTCTTAAAAACCCTTGCTTTTTTCCTGTTGGTGTATTAATTGTGAATATATTGCTACTTTTGATCCTATTGACCAATTCTCTATCCAACTTGTCCAATTCTGGTTGATTTCTAGATAAGGGTGGACTCGGGCCAGGTCTGGGTCGGGCCTAGGCCTGGGCGGGCCGCCGGTTCAGAATAGTTGGGCCCGGGACCGGGCCAGGTAGCCACTGGGTCCGGTCTGGGCCTCAGGCCACTTCCTATTTTTTTTTTTTTTTAATTTTCTAATCAATCCCCTAATACCCCCCACCTCCACCCCCAAACCACCTCAAATGGCCCAAAACACCCAGTCCAACCCTGAAAAATAAAAAATGAAAAAAAAATAAAAGGCCCGGAACCTGGCCGGGCCGGTTCATCATTTGGCGGACCTGAGCCCGCACTGAAAACCACTGGGCCGGGCCTACCTGGACTGGTCCCTGGCCGGGCCACTGGGCTGGGCTGGAACAGTACCGGTCCCGGGTCGGTTCCGGGTCGGGCCACCCGGCCCGAGTCCACCCCTATTTCTAGAACTAAAGATTTTGATGGACCAAAGTTTGGAAAAATTCTCTGTAGTATAAAAAAGAAATTGCCCTTCAAGAGTAGAAATGTTTTAAAATTTAAAAGTAGGAGTATTATGTGTTTATTATTTAAAATTTGGCAATGTGAAAGTCTGGTAGTAAATGAATTTTCAGGAATCAGGATGTCAAGCCACTTTTATTTTGGAATTTCAAATATTTTCTCATGACAAAAAAGTGCTGCGTATGTGTTGGCAGTTGCATTTTCTCACTTAGATGCTATTATCTCAATTGTTTAATGAGGGCCAATGGAACATTGTAGCATTTGGTCTAGTTGGGATGGTATTTTGCAGGGATCGAAAAAATATTGACATGTACTGTATTTGTTCTAAAATCTTGACTATATTTCATCCATCCCTTTTTAAATTGTCCAAAAAACACAAACACTTTAATAGATTAAATTTCATGAATTTTTTACTTTTCACCTTATTTTATAATTTTCCACCTGCTTTTGTGGAGACATTACTTTTTCACTTTTGAGTGCTAGAATCATAAAACAACTACTTTATTATCTTTTATTTCCTTAAGTCTCTTATCAAATTCATATATATCTACCGGAGTATTATTTTTAGCTAGAAAAGGGGCCTAATAATTTTGGTTTGTGGGACGAATAATCCCACCAAAAAAACAGGTGTCGCCAACTTATACAATAATGCTGATTTGAGAATAACCTGTGTCGTCTACCAATAATCTGGGGGGAGCCGTGTGGTGGGTTTAGGGCTGATATGCTGATTTCATTCATTCTTTCTACAAAATTATTAAAATTATTATTATTAAAATTATTATTAGTATTAATATATTATTATTATGATTACGGAGCATATTACTATTTGCGGCAGATCGATGAGAAAGTCCCACATTGTGATGCTGTCGCAGTGGAGCTTCATGGACCATGGTTAGATGATTTGTTACATCTTAGGCATGTGTCTCTGGGCCAATGTGATGATGGTACTAATGATCATACTATAGGTGTTTCTAAATCAGGCTCACACATTGATTGTCTTTTTATACTAAACATTATAAACTGATCATTTTTATAATAATGGAAAAACCACTCTGGTGTAATAAACTAAACACATGTCTTTCAAAAAAAAACTAAACACATGCGGAATTTGGGGGTAGGGTTTCGTGATAGAACAATAGTATGATACATTATCGTTGTTTTTAATGATATGTTGCATTTTTACAATAACAAAGATCCTCAACCGATTAACATTATTTATTCGATTATGGACCTGGTCTCAACCCAAATGGATGACTCGTTGATTTTAGTCAGATAACTTGTATGAGTAGCTCAGTTGATTAAGTGATAATAAAATTGGAACATTGATTAAGGATCGAAATCATATCGACGGAGTTGGAGTCGAGGTTACAACTCATGTGTGCTAGATTGAATTTGTGGTATGCACGAGCACAAAGTCTATCACTATTGGACTGACTGAATCATGGTCATTTTCATCCTCTCAAATGTAATGTCGCATCGAGACGTTGAAGGTTCTTGGGTTGGGTTGAGGATGTAACCTTGGAACATTGCTTTTAGGCTTGAGGCTCAATTTGTAGTGAATGCACGTCCATTTTATACTAATTCGTTAAGACAATTTGAACCATTGACATGCTCTCTTTTGTAACATTGCATGCGATTAAAATTAGCCGAATTAAAATCATTTCTAAAATATTGAAAGCTTCATTATTATAAACCCCATTAGATATCTATTTTTTGACATGTTGATTTAGTTAATCATTTTTTATCAAACACTTAATATTTGATTCCATGCAATAAACTGTACTATGTATAATAATAAAAACAATTGAAATGTATTTACTTTCTAGTTGAACTGATGGTAAAGAACTATTTTATTCTATCATGAAAATTTTCTCTATTTTAGCAATAAATTTAATTTAAATTCTTCATACTATCCTCCGTTCTTTAATTCTTGCAATACTTTGACTTTCACGTTTGCCAACACACAACTTTGATTGTAATTATATTTAATTATGTACTAGTAAACATTATAAAATGTTGATATTTTGGAAATTCACATTGATAGGAATTCAGTAACATTTTATACGAAATGATTTGATTATGTATATTAGTAGAAAATCGTGATCAAAGTAAGATATGTGAATAGTGCAAAAGTCACAATGTTACAAAAATTAAAGAACGGAGGAAGTATATTTTTTGATGGAATATTTTATTTTTAATGACTTACCGTGTTTTTACATACCGATTCAATCATTTAATATACTCCATATGTATTTTACACCCAAATTAAAAGCCAATTTTTCTTAGCCAAGCCAAATGTTGTGCTTAGCATTTGTCCCAAAATGCTATAGTGAATGTATGAATTATCATCATCATCATCATCATCATCATTATTATTATTATTATTATTATTATTTTTATTCGATCTTCGTCTCTCTCTTCCCCTCTTGTTCCGTGTAAAACCCTACATCTTAATCCAGAAATCTGATATCTTCTCCCCCTTTCCTAATAAAATACCTACTTTCTATTTTTATCTCTCCCCCAGATCCACCAATCGGTCGCTTTGTCGTCAATCGCCCAGTTTTTGCGCAATCAAATGCGAGGACATTTGATTTTCTCATTTCTTTTCTCTTCATCTTCCAATATTTTCTGAACGGTTCATTGCTTTTAAATTTTGGGGAAAGTTTGTTCTGCCTTCATTCAATTTTGAGTTTTCAGTTTTCCTTTCTTGAAACTATCCAGATTTTAGGATTTTCGGACCGTGAAAGAAAGGCTGGCGATTGTAGCCTATATTAGGTGATGGCGGAAGGGCCTCATGTCCGCCTCATGGTCTTATCCTCCCAATCCGAAGAGTCAATTTTGATACAGGACGGTGGTTGTGGTTATGAAGTAACTGCTTTAGCTTTAAAATCAGCGAGAGAAGAGTCGACTAATCTGCGTATCCAAGAATGCTGACTGTGCTGCGAGTGCATCTTCCGTCAGACATTCCCATAGTAGGTTGCGAGCTCACACCTTATGTTCTTCTGCGCCTCCCTGATAATACTGTTACTACGGATGACGTCCCTGAGTCCTCCCCCATCAACGGTCACTTCTTGAGATATAAGTGGTCAGTTAGCTTGTCATTCTTTATACTGCTTGCATAATAAAGATTTTGTTTTTAGCCTAAGGGATTCTTGTTTGCTGTTATTTTGATTTTGAGGATGCATTTAGTCTGAGCGAATATCTTTTCATTTCTTCGAATTGTAAATTGTTTCTTTATTGCTAAGCATATGGATGTGCTCTCCAGCTGTCTGTATCGGCAATTCTTTATGTATGAAAAATCGACAATATTGGTGTATTTTATACTGAGTAATTATTATCTAGCTTTCACTTGTTTACAATGTTTTCATTTCAAGTTCTATAACATTAATAATATCTTCTAATATTAGAATATGAGTTAGATATCATGTCTGTTTCTTTATTTATGTTTTTATTTTTTGAGGACATGTGTGGTAGGTTATGTGACAGTTCATCTTATGAAGTAACAATTCATATTTGGCATAGGTTTGAGCAAAGATTTAGGATATAATCGAGAATAGATTAAAGTTATTTAGAGGGATAATCCAAAGAGTATTTAATAGGGTGAAGCTGAAATAGAGGATGCACCAGATATTGCTCTGCTTATGGATTCAGTAAGGCTGCCAAATTGATCATATGCCTCCTAACTAGTTGGTCATGCATCCCATGTATTTCATATTTAACCATCTCCAGATTAGTCCTGGACTCGTCTTCACCTTGCACATATTCAACTTTACAATGACATTGTTCTATGTCCTGGTAACTATATCTGTCAGGGCCTAACTAAAATTACTGGACAAAAGACGAGTTAGATGATACTCTGTAGTCTGTACCACAAACGTTACAAAACTGAACTGGTATTATGCAGATGCATTAAAAGATTGAATTTTATGAAACCAAGATTGTACTCCTTCATTCACATGGCATTATGTCATTTCACAAGTTGATTTTAGAATATCAGGACATGACCATAAAACATACCCCAACTTGTTTGAGTCTCATGATATTTCCATACGAGTGGGAAAGTCATATGAAAATGAATGAATTGGATATTTATGATTTATCTCGTCATTCATTCGTAAGGACTAAGGAATCTTGGTAATGATCCTATATATAGGAAGCCACATGACATAATATTTAAGGAAAATTTACCAAAATAGGAGTAAAAAACAATGTGATTTCCTTAAATAGAAGCACTATGTTCCCCCCAAATGTTTATAGAGTAGTGCCATATGGCCCATACTTCATCATACTGATGATAGTAATTGCTCCTATCTACAAAAACGTAATACTCTTATTTAGGGAAACCACCTTGTTTTTACCCTTATTTAGGGCATTTTCTTAATTATAAATGTTTATATGTATATGATCAAATAGTTGCGATGGTAAAAAATGCATTAGGTATATAGTTTGTGACTTCAATAACATGGGAAATGAATGCGAGTGTTAGAGCCCCAGCATATATGTGCCTTTGTCTATTGTTCTCTATTTTTGATAGTTGATACTACTTATTAGTCATCCATTTAGGATTTGGTAGTACACAAATTATTTATGTTAAGACAACTAGACAACTACTGTACTAAGTAGCACATTTTGGTTTGAAAAGATTATTATATCTGTTGGATAGTATCTTGTACATACTAATTTGACACAAAAATTGCTGCCGTGTAAAAAAATGGCTGCCGTGTTCTGAACTTTACATAGTTCATGTTCATAAATTTCCCACCATCTTGGAAACACATTTTTGCTTAACTGAAAACTACAGCTAAGTTTCCTATGTATCCTCTGAAACATATTTATATGAAGTAGCTCTATTAAATCTCTTTTCACTTATACTGAGTTGTACTCGAAGAAAATGTCGGTGATTAAATATTCTGGATGGTTGGTTTAACATGTGCTGCTTGAATTGACAATTCCAATTGTCTGGAGTAATTTACAGGTATCGAATACAAAGTGACAGAAAAGTTGCCATATGCAGTGTCCATCCATCTGAACAAGCTACATTACAATGCATTGGATGTGTGAAGGCAAAAATCCCTGTTGCTAAAAGTTACCATTGCTCCACCAAATGTTTTGCGAATTCATGGCAGCATCACCGCATTTTGCATGAACATGCTGCCAGTGCTGCCAATGATAATGCAAATGAGGAGGAAGAAGTATTTGTACGCTACAACAACACATCAACTAGTGTGATCAATACAAACCTGCCTCCACAATCAGCTGCCTGCTTAGCAAATGGAGCAACACCTCTGTACCCTGCAGCAGTCACACAGAGGAGTGGTGGTGAAACATGGTTTGAAGTTGGACGGCTTAAAACATATACACCAACGACTGATGATATTGGCCATGTTCTTAAATTTGAATGTGTTGTTTTAGATGCGGAAACCAATCATGCAGTTGGGCAGGTGAATACCATATTGACTTCTCGTGTAATTCCTGCTCCATCTCCTACACCACGCCGCTTAATTTCAGTCAAAGAAGGTGATGCTTCAGCAATTCCTGATTTAGGTGGTCGCATTTCATCTTCTGGAACATTTACTGTGCTCTCGTACAATATATTATCCGATTCATATGCCACAAATGAATTATACAGTTACTGCCCCTCTTGGGCCCTTTCTTGGACATATCGTAGGCAGAATCTATTGCGTGAAATAATTGGCTATCGTGCTGACATTGTTTGTCTTCAAGAGGTACACATGCTAACAGAAATTTGGAAGTTAGTCAGTCTTATAAGGCATAGGATAAATGTTATTCAGTGTTGCATAGTTACTAGTATCAATTCTACATCATAGTTTGGAGAATTCCTAAACGAGTCCAAAATATCATTTAAAATACGATTCTAGTATTAAACTAGCTTTTCCAAAGCCGGATGAGATCATAAGTAATGCCAAATTTTATATAAAAAAGGGTAGCCCGGTGCACATTGGCGTCTCCACAAGGCGAGGGTCCGGGGAAGGATCCCACCACAAGGGTGTATAAGGAGCATGCCTTCCTTCGTTATTTTGACAAGAGACTGCTCCCAAGACTTGAACTTGTGACCCCTCAGTCACATGGAAACACTGCAACCGGTGCGCCAAGGCTCTTCTTCTATTGCCAAAATTTATGCCCAATTTTATGTTCCGTAGAAAACTCTGATCTGTTTCTTAAAATAATAACCACATATACATGGCTTTGTCACACTTTACAACATTGATTAAATTGTACTTGTAAACTGACATTTAAAAATTCCCACTTTTGCCACGCATCCTCCCCTTTCAGGTTCAAAGTGATCATTATGAAGAGTTCTTTGGTCCTGAACTGGATAAACATGGTTATCAATCCTTTTTCAGAATGAAGAGTTCTGAGGTTGGTTAGTTTGGAGTTCTCATATTTTATACCACATTTCTTGTATCACTTGTGTAATACTCATTTTGATAAGTAGTATGGTTAAGCTGATGCAACTTGTTTGCAGGGGATTGGTGGAAATATGAATAGTGTTGATGGTTGTGCTACTTTTTTCCGACGAGATAGATTTTCGCATGTTAAGAAATATGAGGTATGAAAAGCTTAGAGGTCTAAGGTCCGGTGAGGTAAAATTTGTCTTTCCTAATCCTGCCAATCTATGATCTGTTCAGGTTGAATTTAACAAAGCTGCACAATCACTGACTGATGCTTTAGCTCCCAGTGTTCAAAAGAAAACTGCTCTAGGTCGTTTGATCAAGGTAACTCATTTAATTTGTCAATTGGGGTCAAAAGATAACTCCTATATGGTATTTATTGGCACTTGTGTATATTTTGGCCTGTTGGGGTGTTCTCTCTATTTTTATTGTACTGACCCACACATTCTGATTTGTTTTGTTGTTCTTTTGGAAATTGTGCACTCTAATACAGGACAACGTTGCACTCATTTTGGTTTTGGAGGCAAAGTTTGGTAATCAGGGAGTTGATAATCCAGGAAAGCGTCAGCTAGTATGCGTGGTAAGGAACCTCAAGTGATTCACTTATGGTTAATGCGTGTTTTTTCAGTAGGTGGGTTTGTTGCTTAAAATGACTAACTGCATACAAATTACAAATAGCATTGCTATATGAAACAAGCTTTATCTGAACCCAGTTCCGCTCAGATAAGCTTGCTTAGGTTTGAACTCAGTTTGTTTATTTTAGAAAATAAGTTGAGCTCGATTTGATGCTCAATTCATTAATAAGCCAAGCTGATCTCGACTTGAAAACTCGTAATTAGGGAATAAGTTTTTCTTCACTCCCATGTATATTATGCAGTTACATGTGGCTTGTGAGCTCAGCTTCAGAGAGCCTAAAACGAGTCTAGTTAGACTGTTTGAGCTTGGTTCTGAGCTCTAACTCTTACAACTCAGTCAGAGACTGACCCAAAGTAGGTTTTAGTCCAGCTCGAATATGTTTTACCCGGTCTTGGCTGGGCTCAAATACAACATGACATTCATATAATCTATTTTGTATAATCTAGATGCTGATCCATTGTTAGTCGAGTATAATTCAGTATCATGAATATCTAGTAAATAATTTGCTAGGTTATAGGGGATGTGTCGATTAAGAGTCCTTTTAGTAAGTCCTCGAATGGACAAATGGTTGAATTTGCTGAGGTTGAACTTTAAATTGTTGTCATCGTTACCCCAGTGCCGCAAAGGCTCCCACCTACGGTGTGGTAAGGGGGCTCGGATGTACGCAACCTTACCCCTGTACTAAAGCATTTCCAGATGACCCATGGTGAAAATCGCGTCTAAAATTGCATGAACTGACTTCTGCTTCATAACAAAGAAGCGCATACAGTTCTGTGAGCCACATTGCTCTATTCCATCATATTCCTAAGCCAAGAAATAGTGAATCTTTGGCTCCATTGCAAATGATGGAAAACTGAAGTTGAACTTTAAATGATTGGTCTAATTTATTTAAGATTCTCTTAAGGGCATAAACGTAGCGGGTTTTTTGGTTGACAGGCAAATACTCATGTACATGTTCAACAAGATTTGAAGGACATCAAGCTTTGGCAGGTGATCACACATACCTTTTGTGGCAGTGAGCTAGTGGCATTCTGTCTGTTTTATCTTTTGGAACATAATTTCATTATGTTTGTCTTCAATTATCAGGTTCATACACTTTTAAAAGGTCTGGAAAAGATTGCTGCTAGTGCTGATATCCCGATGCTGGTCTGTGGTGATTTTAACTCGATACCTGGAAGGTCTGTTGTGTTTTTAGTTCATATTAAACTCCCAGGTTTACATGTTTGGGACATACTACTTTACCAAGTATCAACGATTAGCTACATTTATTCATTGATGTATATGCTGCAGTGCTCCACATGCACTGCTTGCAATGGGGAAAGTTGATCCATTGCATCCGGATTTAGCAGTTGACCCTCTTGGTATCCTGCGTCCAACATCCAAATTAACACACCAACTGCCACTGGTATTAATTCCTTATGTTAAAAAGAAATGTTACTTATTTCCTTCTTTACATAATTACATGCATGCACTTCATTTGTTGTGTCCCTGCCCCACACATACTCCAGGTTGTCATGGTAGTGGGAACCAAGTGCAATAAGATCTCGCTTGGTTGGCAACATTTTCGGCTGATGAGCTAGTTGTGTCACCAACACACTTATATGGATGCAGTGGCTGAAACAGTTTATAATGAAAAAAGTAGTGAGAAAACATCTTTTGGATGTGATGGTTCATGATTGAAATTAATGGAAGTTGCACTCCGATCTTCATTTTAGACATTTTTCTTTAATTTATTAAAAAACAATTTTAAGGTAACATGGTAGCTCCAGTCACAGCCACTTCAACCATTTAGGCCTTACCAAACATGCTATAGGAGTCATCACTGAATACTTTTTTAAATAACTATTACAGTGTTTTCAACATTGTTTCCATTGTGGTGTCATTTGTAGGTAAGTGCTTACACGTCCTTTGCTAGAATGGAGGGTGGTTTTGCAAGTGAGCGTCACAAGAGGAGGATGGATCCTATCACCGAGGAGCCCTTGTTTACAAATTGCACAAGAGACTTCATTTCTACTCATGATTACATATTCTACTCAGGTATGTGCTGCTGGCCAACATAATTCAGCCCATCTTTGGTAAAACCAATATGGTACTGCAAGATCTTAAGTTATGGGGAGAGGATGTACACTTGTGCTTATGTTGCTGTTGAGTCTAAGTGTTGGTGTGTAACTATGGAGGGTTGTACTTGAGATTGGTTGGAGATGACAATATAAATGAGAAAAGATGCCAATAACTCAAATTTTAAAACAGTCACAGTGCGGAAAGGAATTTCCCCTATGGGTAACAACTGAAAATCCTGACCCAAAAAATTCAAATCGTGCTAATGGGCAGTACTATTTTGGTATTGTTGTTTCAGCGGACTTGTTAACCGTTGTATCATTATTGGAGCTACTTGATGAAGACAGCCTGAGAAAGGACACAGCCCTACCTTCTCCAGAGTGGTCTTCTGATCATATAGCCCTTGTAGCAGAGTTTCGTTGCAAATCAAAAAATAAACACTGATGCTTGGTAGGTGCTGCTTAACTCATCATATTCTCAAATTATTAGGTATCATCATTATCACCACCTTATTCCAAATGAAGTTATGGTTAGTGTCATGAAATTTATACTGTCAACTAATTGTCTAATCTCTAGTACAAAAAGAGTCATGTTTCTAAAGATATCTGCCCCTAAGAAAAGTCTCATTTCATAAACATTAATAAATCTCAGACGAGCTTTCGTGTAAATAAAAGAAAGTTGCAACCTAAATCAATAAGATAAATTTAGTTGAAGCAAGCAATAAGTTATAAAAAATAAGAGGCGCTTATAGTAAGAGTTGTACCATGCAAATATTTTTGAAACAGATGATATAGTACTATGTGGCTATGTGCTCTGTTAAGTAATGCTTTAAATTTATGCAAAAAGAACAATGTCAATGTTTTATTCAGTGAGTCTGAGTTGTGATTGTTGCAAGATCTCAAGGATTGTGATTTATTGGTTGACTCTCTTCCCACTTGATCGCTTATTAATATGTTTTTATAATGGGTGCAGGTTTTTGCTAGACAATGGGGTTTCAAATAGAGTCAGAAACATTCACAAAGAGTTAAGATCAAAGTTATTATTGTAACAATAGTAGATGTTGTTTTGTGTTGTATGTATCCTCTCCAAGGGGTCCACATAGCTATTCCATCTCTTCTCTTTTTGTATCATGCTACTGTTGTCTCATAGAAAAAACAATTCCCTTTATTAAATAGAAGAAATATCATCAGCAGTATCTGCTATCCAATATAATTGCCTTTCCAAACCTCTAAACTTCCTGCTCATGAATGGCTCACCTTAATGCACTTGTGTTCCATCCATAAAATGAATTTGTCACGCGCTTAACAGCTTAGGCTTAGGGTCATGTCCCGGTCCTCCATTTGACGGACAAGAACCTTAGGTCTGTTTGGACTTTGGTGTGTTTTTCAGTTTGATCATTCAAAAAACTAAAAAAAAAACAGATTTTGTTACTTACAAAAAGTTGTCAGCAGTTTGCCATTGGCAGTTTCTGAAGTTAGTCTATGAGTAGTTTTCATTTATCATTTTTTTATTATTTACCTTTTAAAACCACAAAGCCAAAAACTAAAGATACATGACTATCTCAAATGATGTTCTATATAGCAGTCTTCGACTTCTGATCAACTAAAAAATCGAACACTGTTTTGCAATATTCATACCTTAGTGCTTACTCCCTACTCCCTAGGTTTCAATTCGAATAAGAACTGCATTTTGGTTCTTGTTCTGGTCCTGGTTAGGGATGGACTAAACCGGGTCGGCCTGACCCGGAACCGGCCCAGCCCGTTACTGTTTGGGCCCGGACCGGGACTGGTTGGCCGGTTCCGGGCTTTTAGCCTGTTTGGGCGGGTCGGGCGGGTCGGGCTCGGGCCCAACTTTTGGTGAACCAGCCCGGGCGGTTTGGGCCGGGCCCGGTTCAATTTTTTTTTTCATTTTTTTTTGCTTTTCTAGGTTAGGGTTGGGTGTTTTGGGGGGGTTTGGGGGGTGGGGGTGAAGGGGTGGGGGGGGGGTCGGTTGTTAATTAGAAACCAAAAAAAAAATTGAACTTGATCTGGGCTCGGCCTGGTCCGGTTTGGCCCGGACCCGGTATCAACCTGGGCCGGTTCCGGGCCCAACATTTTGCAAAAAAAGCCCGCCTGGGCCTGGCCCGGAACCGGAATCGGACCGCCCCGGGTCCATCCCTAGTCCTGGTCAATCGGCTATGGGTTAGGACTGGAAACCATGTCACACTTTTTCAAGCCTTAGTATTGGTGGAAAACTGGTAAATGATACTTCTTCCGTCCCTTATAACTTTGACAACTTTCCTTTTTTGGTTGTCCCAAAATTTTTGCCACTTTCCCTTTTAATCAATCAATTTGTGGCTTCTGTTGTTTCTCTTTTCTCTGCACAAATCTCTACCACACAGTTTTTACTTTATTATTCTACGTGCCGGTCAAATTTGACAATCTTTTTAGGGACGGAGGGAGTATGTTAAATTGGAGATTTTTTTTGTAACGGTACAATCCAATCATTTTGTTTACTCATGAAATTTTAATATTCTATACGTACATTTGGTTGTACTGCGTATAAGTTAAGGTTCAAATATAAAAAACAAATTAATATTATGTTAGTGTGATGCTGTCGAATAAAAAAGTCTCCTTGGGTAAATGCAATTTAAAAACTGGCATTGTATAGAGTTGTGGATTGCAATGGTGAGTGGTTGAGCTCGTGTGGTTGTTCTTTTGAATTTTGATATCGTTGAGAATATCCAAGTATACATGTAGATTAGAAAATGAATGATATGTTCAATTACCATGAATAGAAAATATTGGTTAGTTGACATGATTAATACACTCCTCATATCTGCTTTATTTGAGGAGAAGTAATGACTACATAAATGATAACGATAATCAAAATCTTTGAGGAATGAAATACAATTTGGGCATTCACATATAAATCAACTTGCTTGCAAATGGAATCAAATCTTGATCCTCTCAACCTCTAAATAATCCTTGATCAAGAGTTTAAAGTTAAAATGAACAGGTTTCTGATGTTAAGATTTTGAGGTTTCTGAGCTTGATTAGTCGTCTATGCATGGGATTCTGGGCCAGCGGCAGGCTTTGAGTTGAGAAGCGGTTGCAAGGCCTTGACGACGATTGTCATATTCGGACGAAAATCAGCCTCATATTGAACACAGAGTGCAGCAACAGCTGCCATCTAAGAGTTGCCAGAAATGTAAACAATTGAGGCAGGCCATAGAAACCCATGTTAGGATCATAACCGGTAAGACGAAAAAGGTTTACCTTGGCAATGGCCTTTGGTGGATATTCATTGTTTAGCTTAGGATCCACACATTGTTTCACTTTGTCTTCACTCAACCTTGGGGTAGCCTACACAAAACCAAATACAGGGTTGGCCTATGAGAAAATGACTTTTACATACATACATATATACATAATACATTCATTATGCATACATGTCTGATTGTGTGTATATGCAATAATGACAAATGTATCATTCAAATAAAACTCATGTACACATGCTTACCTATTTGTTTGTGTGTGTTAATGATATAATGACAAATATATCATTCAAATAAAACTTGTGTAGAAATATGACTCATTAATGTACATCTCCCGCTTTTTATTCAGTGACCTTTTTTACATGTACACTGACAATGAAGTTTTTTTGACATGCGACGAGTCCGATGACCACTACTGCTCAATGTAGTGAGCGTAGGGGCACTGGCAAACTTTTTCTCCGTTGAGTTTTATATTAGTATTATTGTAGGAAAACTTATAATCGAGTCCATTGTCGCAAGACCTGTGTCTTGCTTTTTGTAGAAGGTGAGGTTGCAAAGAAGAAAATAGATCATGCTTGTTGACTTATTGTCTTTAGAAAACCAGCAGGGTGACATATTTAAAAGAGAGGGTCTAGTTAGGCAGGCCATACATACCCATGTAACAAGGCTTTGTTGGCCTTTGGGCATGGTATGATCAACTGGCTTCCTTCCTGTCAAGAGTTCTAAGAGAACCACTCCAAAACTGTAAACATCACTTTTCTGAGTAATTTGTCCAGTCATTGCATACCTACAATGCAAAGTAAAAATTAACACCAAAGAGTAGCCCAATATCTTATGTGTTGATTTGTTATTTCATGTTAAGCCTATGTGAGATGAATTCTTTTATGAAGAAGCAGAGAAGAAATAACTAACTCGGGAGCATGGTAGCCAAAAGTTCCCAAGACTCTAGTGGAATGCAAGCGGGCGGCAGTATCAGATGACTGGTTTGTCAAGTTGAAATCAGCAAGTTTGGCTGTAAAATCATCAAAGAGGAGGACATTGCTGGACCTGATATCTCGATGAACGATCGGAGGCTGAACCTTTTCATGCAGATACTCAAGCCCTCTTGCAGCCCCATAAGCAATCTTAACTCTCTGATTCCAGGCAAGAACCGGACCTGGCTCCGCACCTTGTACCCCTTTCCTTCCTGCAATATCCCAAAACATCCACAAATAATAATTAATGAATAATAATCTAACCTCGACTCGAATAGTGTCATCCAGCAAACTATGATAATCATCATGAGCATACCATGTAAAACATCATGCAAAGATCCCGAAGTTGCAAACTCGTATACAAGAATTCGGTTATCTGCCTCAAGACAGTACCCAAGAAGAGCCACAAAATGATCATTCTTCAGTCTTGAAACTGTTGACAACTGCATTAAATACAACCATTAGAAAAATGTCAATCTTTATTTCATATTTAGCCGTGTGACAAATCATATAAATTGCCCACTGCACCCCTTCTCATAGTAGACACCTCATCGTGATCATATAATATTTTTCACAGGGTTACGTGCCCTTTACGGTCTAATGTCTCTCGTCTGGTAGTACATTTATTTATAAGGGCACATTCTTTCACAACCCTACGCTTCGTCTAGACTACTGTATTTTTATCATAGAGGGAAACTACATAGCCAATCACCCTTGATAATAATATTAAGACTTGAAGTTCTGTCTTAAATAGTATTCTAGTGAATAGCGTAGCTAAGAACATAAATATTTAGGAACATTGGTCTTCACCTGTGCTGCAAAGTCAGAATCAGGCTCAGGTGAAGAACTGGTATCCAACTTCTTGATTGCAACTTGTTGGCCATTGCTTAAAGTTGCAGAGAAAACGCGGCCATATGATCCTTCACCCACCAAAGCCTTTTGACCAAAATTTCCAGTTAATTTATTTAGCTCATCCAAACGCATTACAGGTATCTCTATAGGCAGAGCTTTCTGAGGTGCTCCACTTCTCATTGCCCCTGATGACCTTGGCTCTCTTTCACCAGCTACACCAATTTTAATATTAACCCCAGTCAAAAGATTTTTTTTTTTTTGTTATAAATTTAATAGAACCAAATGGATTAGTCAAGATTATCAATGAGGAAAAAAGGAACAAGATTCATTTTCATAATTGATTGTCAAGATTTGGGTTCCAGAGCTAAATTTTCATACAAGGAGCAGTCAGGATCCTGCCCAAATCAGCCCGAAAAACTTATGGAGTTAAAGTGTGTAAATGCCCTCAAACAAAGAGGACACCGCAAACGATGAGCGCGATTCAAATAAACAAATCATAGACAATCAATTTCTAATACTAAGACTCGAGTTCTATCTTAAAAGATTATATTTTCTTACATTCAACTCATATGAGACAAACGCTTCAGCATCTATAACTCATAAGAGAAAGAAAAGGAAACATACCAGCACCAGTGCCACCATGGTACGGGTGACCGGCCTTAGGAGGAGCCGTGCTTTGATTAGCTGGGGGACCGCTGTAGTCCTCTAGCTCGCCTCCTCCGCAACACGACATTATTTTAATATCAAATAATTGCAACCAGATCTACGCCGAGAACTTATATATATGTATAAACATACATACATATAATATAGATATATATTAAATGCCAATCTGAACAATCCTCATCCAAATCAGCGCTAAAGGCAGGGTTGATCAGGTCCTTTTATTCCTTGTAGCTAAATAAGAATGTAGCTATATTCCCAGGATTATAAAAATCTATGCCAATGTGCTGAACATAATCAATCCTCAACCAAGATTCAGAACCATATATGTATAAAAAAGGACTCTTTTATGTCCTTAAAAATCTATAAACTACTCCTGGCATTGAGAGATGAAAAAAAATGGATCTGCATGGGGAAGAAATGGAATGGAGGCAGATAGAAGCTAGGAGAAAATTAAAAAAAAAAGATGAAGAAAAAGAAAGTGCGGAATGCTTTCCTCTTTTTCTTCTCTTTTCTTTTTTCTGTAGGTGGTCTGTGATGGTAGGAATGGGTGGGGAAAATGAAAGAGATTTTCCATTTGCGGGAAAACAGGTTGGGAACCTTTTTAACCGTTAAAACTAACACACAATATATATGCAACGTGTCTGCCTTCTATAGGCCCATTTTCCATTGGTTATTATACTTTTATACTTTTCTCTACTCGTATCAGCCCCATTCAAGATCTATAATACTCCCTCCGTCCCGAAATTATCTTCATTTTTTCCTTTTTGGTCCGTCCCAAATTTATCTCCTCTTTCCTTTTTTGATAAAGAATATGTGGTTCACAATCATTCTTACACATTTCTCTCTCCTCTGCACAACTCTCCACCACACAAATCCCACTATCTTAATCCCCGTGCCCAGTCAAAACCGAAGTTAATTATGGGAAGGAGGGAGTAATAAATACGGAGTATTCAAATACGAAAAACATAATTGTTTGTATTTTTGTTGACTAATTAATAAATACGTAGTATTAAATTCTACTTTCAATATTGCCCATCAACTCTCAAAAAGTGCCCCATAGATTGTACTAGTATATATAAACATCCAAATAAAAAAAACATTAAAGCATACAAACAATATTATAAAATTACACCACTCTCAAAAAAAAAAAAATATTATAAAATTACACCACTTATATCAAGAGTAACATTATAAATGAAGTGACTAGTTTTGAGTTCCTAACTTTAGTAGTCGTGTAATAAATGTTTTCTTTCACCGTAAATTAATAGGAATGTGATAGTTAGTTTCTTGCTAGGAATATGTAGCGTTGAATCATATTTGACTTGTGATTCCTTTCGAAGGCCTATGAACAAGGAGAAGAAGCGAGTAGCTTCCTAAGAAATTCAATTCATTATTATCTATTTGTAATACAGAGTATTCAATTTGCGATGTTATCGATAAAATATTTAATGAAATGCCAAAACCTCAGAATTATATATATTTTTGAAAATATTATTAATTGTACCATAAGGGTATGAGACTTATGTAGCTGATTATATATGTGAATTGTGATGATGGTCACATTACCTTTTGGAGGACCGGATCCAAGACCATAACAACTTGAGCACAAGTTGTGTAACACAGGTTTGTCATGTCTAGATAGAGAAATGCTTGGTGTATACATTTTTGTGTACACCTTTTGTACATTCGTCTGTCTCACGTACAAAAAATTGTCTGTCCACAGACAATTCTGTCTACGTGAGACAAACGAATGTACATAAGATTTACACAAAAATGTGTACACCAAGCATTTCTCTGTCCAAATATGGCTCTTCTACAAGACGCTCTAATGACTTGTTCCCTTGATTTATTTTATTTGGATTAAATAAGATTAGATTAAAACACACTATATTTTATATCTATATTGAATTCTAGAATTCATTAACGTTCTATTAGTTCAACCACTGGCTTAATCCTTGTTCCAGTGGATATCAGATTCGTGTCTATGAAATCACATCCTCTTTACGTCTCATTTTTAATGTCTTATTTTCTTTTTTGAATTATCTTAATTAAATATCTTATTCCGGCTCTAACAAGAAATACGTTGCTGGTATCATTTTACTTTATCCACTTAATAAAATCTCAATCACAATTTAAAAATACTAGATTTCTTACTCGTGCGTTGCACGGGATGTTCATAATAGTCACTTTCCATCTAAAAATGTACAGTCAGATATAATGTACATATGAGTCTATAATAATAATGCATACATTCACTATAGCACGGGATGTTTATGCATATGCCAATCATAATAGTCACTTTCCATCTAAAAATGAAGTATAGATCATGAAGTATGCTTATTGAAATGGTCCCCAATGTGTTTTTTAATACCAAGTTGGGTCTTACTAATTAAATTTAACTTTTTTTATGTATTATATCCAGTGGAGGACCTAGGGGGCAAGTGCCCCCGCTTCCGACCCCGAAGTTTAAGATTAGTACTTAAAGATAAAAATTGTGCCCCCGCTACGCGGTCATAAAAACTAGAGATTATTTCATAAATATTACCTAATTAGAAATAATGGACATGAATATTACTATAGTTACTATGCATAGCATAAATTATAAATAACCACGAAGTTGTGATGGAGCAAATCCTTATAGTTAGATATTGATTACTACACTTTGTTTGAAAAGTGACATTGATGATTTCCTAACTTGGTGTAAATAATGGTTTTCTAAAGTTAAAAGTCAAAGATATGACAAGTGTTCTAATATGTAGGATGAGCTTAATTGGTTTCAAACCAATAGACTCTTTGAATTTTTTATCTATAGTATAATGAATGCTAGATATATAGAATCATATTATTAAATTAAATTGTATTAAAGAATGAAATCATGAACATGATCTATACTTCATTTTTAGATGGAAAGTGACTATTATGATAAGTGTCCTCCCATATCTAATAATAATAATGCATACATTCACTATAGCACGGGATGTACATAATAGTCACTTTCCATCTAATAATAATAAAAATGCATACATTCACTATAGCACGAGATGTTTATGCATATGCCAATCATTATCAATATAATGTACAGTCAGATCCAAATAATGTAAATTATGATAAGTGTCCTCCCATATGTCAGAACATACAGTAACACGCCCATCAAAGTTTGCAAAATAATTTTGTAACCTTACCTTTTCCGCACCATAAAGCCTTGAAATTTCTTTCTTAACCGTTTTGCGACTATAACCTCTATATTGAGGATTTAAACATGTTTGTGCATAATCACGAAAAGCAAGAATTTCAGAAAACAAATAAGGCAAATTTTCTTCAACAAGTAAGTTAGCCGTACCAGTCAAATTTTGTGCATCATTGTATGAGAAATTATCAAAAGCTTGTTGGTTATTTGCAAACCTCGATATTTGAGTTTGCTTCCCCGTTCTGCCGCCTAATTTTGCATACTCCACCGGGTGTTTGGACTTAAGATGTCTTGTGGCGGATCCGTATCCGCCGGAAATCCCCAAGCTATAATTTTTCTTGCACCAATTGCAAGTTGCGGTCCAATTCCCGGTGTTCGGGTCCTTCCACTTAGAAAAATTACTAGCCATTAGTTCAGATTTACTTTTTCGTACCGGTTTGGGATGAGGCAGGCTCGTCGGCGTCGTGGCTGCCGCCACCCTCCTCCTCGTCGTCGCCGTGGCTCTTCTTCGTCAATGGTCCTCGATTGGTCTTGGAAAAAGCGACTATTATGTCGGTGCAATTCTTGTTCTAATTGTTCGTCGGTCATCGCATCCACATCCCTCCTTGCGTAACCCGTATCAAATTATCTTGGCTTTGAGATGAAGAGCCGATATGTGATTTACCTTTGCGGGATCTCTTCCTCGCAAGCTCGTTCGTTCGGTTGCGCTCGAGGTTACCCATATCAACCGAATATCTAGCAAAATCCATCTAAAAAATGTAACAAATATTAAATTGCAACTATTATTTATTTATAAAATTCGAGTGAAATGTGAAGTAAAAAATGTGAATTCAACCAAAATTTATAGCAATACTATTGTTTAATAAATAGTCAAAACTAACAATTAACTAGTTTTTTACAAGCAATCAAATTGTTATTGTTTAACTAGTTTAATGAAAAATTAACTATTTAACTAGTTTTTTAAACTAGTTTTTTGTACTACCTATTTTTTTACAAGCAATCAAATTATTATAGTTTAACTAGTTTAATGAAAAATTAACTATTTAACTAATTTTTAAACTAGTTTTTTGTACTACCTATTTTTTTAATTAACAATCAAGTTATTATAGTTTAACTAGTTTAATGAAAAATTAACTATTTACTAGTTTTTAAACTACTTTTTTGTACTACCTATTTTTTTAACTAACAATCAAATTATTATAGTTTAACTAGTTTAATGAAAAAATAACTATTTAACTAGTTTTTAAACTACTTTTTTGTACTACTTATTATTTTAACTAACAATCAAATTATTATAGTTTAACTAGTTTAATGAGAATTAACTACTTTAATGAAAACTTAAACAATTCGTGTGAAAACTAATTAACTAATCAAGTAATGTTAATACAAAATTAAACAAGTGTAAATAATAGAATGATTTTGTATCTGTTTCGGTCTTTCGGATGGGAGTAATAGAATGACTTCGAATTAATTAGATATAATTCAAACTATATTAATAGATATAATAAATGTATAAGTAATATATAATTAGATAAGAAATATAAGTAATATAATGTATGTATTTATAAGTAGATAGTTAAGAGTAGAGAGTTAAGATAGGATTTAGGAAGAGTTGGAGAAGAGAAATGGAAAAATGTTTAAGATTAGGAGTATTTATAGGTTTTTTTACCCACCACCTCACCCCCACCCCCACCCCCACCCCAAACCGCCCGGACCCCCCTGCATCCCACCCAATGGCTATATAGCCGTTTGGGTTGTCCCCAGCCCACCCCCAACGGTCATTTGGCCCAAATGAAAAAAAATTAAAATAGAGCCGTTGTGACCCGGACCCGGGCCCGACCCGGCATGGGCCGGGTCACGTTTTATAGGAACCGAGCCCGCAACCGCTTAGCCCCCCGATTCGGGTCTACGCCCGGTCCCGGACCGCCCGACCGGGCCGGTTCCGGGCCCGCATAGTAGCGGGCCGGGTTGGGTCACGGGCCGGGTGGCCCAAATCGAATCCATCCCTAAGATGAATAGGTAAGCCCTCAAAAGCCACTCAGACCTTCCACGTTTGGCCTAAAGGTAGGCGACCACTTGGTAACCCGCATGACCTTCCCTTGAATGGACCATGATTCTAAAGTAATCATCCTCGTGCTCAAAGCGAATCAACACGTGCTTTATCTCCAATGCCCCTAAATGGAAAGCTCCTTTGAATCCAATTTTCTCCATAGATTTACGAAGCGTATCCAAATTAGGGCGTCCACGGTAGAAATAACGAATCAGCGAGTGTTTATGACGTTCTGCTAGGATCTTGATATCACACTTCGGGAAAGAAATAGCAGGCATCCCCTTGATAGTGAGTTTTTTCTGATAGCGATCCGGATGAACGCTCAGCAACAACATCTACAAACGATTTACCCTGCCACGCCGTTGAAGAAGGAATTGAGGTCGAAGTTGGCGGCTGCGCCGCCGTCAGCGAAGAAGGAGACGTACTCATCGTACAAAACCCTCACTTTTCATTGGAATCATTGCTGTCAACCGCTAATTAGTGCATCTGCTAGCGAATTATCTATTCTTCATCTCACTTCATTCGTTATCTTCTTTTGTCTCTCACCATTTCTATGAAATAAAATCCAAAAGCTAAAAAATCACTTTCTTTTAGTATTTATCCACATCTTGCTTTACCGGTTCATTTGTGATATGAACGCTAGATATCACCGTCTTTTGTCTTTATTCGTGTCTTCCAATATAATATCTCTTCAATACCGTCTGATGGAGTATATGGCCCGGGAACACCCGGCCCACAGACTCCTCCTACTCCTTTAGAGGCTCAACAGGTCCAGAAGGTCCAACAGGCCCAAATCACAGCGCCCAGAATACCAAGCAGCCCACACTACGCGCCAGGGGTGCCTTCGGCCCCCTGGCCGAAGGCTCTAAACTCTCGCAGAACGGATTTCTCAAACAAATTAAGAAACTGGGAGAAAACGGCGAAAACAGTAGCCCTCAGCACTGTGAGCCCTCGGCACCAGGGTGCCATCGGTTGGAGGAGCCCCTCGGCTACTGCTCTATGGCCGAAGGCATCTCACTCGACAAGATATCCGCCTCACATGCGTACAGATCACCGTACCCTGCACAGACGTCCCATCCAACAGCCGCATTAAATGCGGCCACATGCGGCTGCCAGCGCCAACCAGTTGAGGTGACCCCTCGGCCAATGAGCGCTTGACACGTGTCCCTGCCCGGCATTTATTGCTACTATAAATAGCACCCCATTTCCCCATTTGTAACCACGCTGAAAACGACATTCATACTGAATACACACTCTCTCTACATTTACTTACTTGCTCTGACTTCTCTCTAAGTTATTCCCCGTAATAACCCTTCGGATATATACCCCCGGGTAGACTATCCATCATTTGGTGCTACCGTTGAGAGCTCGAACAATCAAGTAAGAAACCCTCCCCCTCGACCAAACACAAAACACTAGCCCTCTATCAAAATGGTGAGGACAACACGTGCCAACTCAAAGAACGTAGAAGACAAGAACCTGGCCCTCGGCGACGTCAACGCCCCCGAAGCCTCTCACAGGGCTCCCGAGGGCGGTGTCATCGCTGGGCTGGAACAGGCGGCTGTCGACCTACGCCTTCAGATCCAACAAAATGCCCCCGATGCCCGCCTCGGCATCGAGGCCAAGAAGAAAAACCGGAGCGATGACCAAGTCAGCCCTCCGGTTCTCACCATCGACGTGCAATCGGCGCTCTCCGCCTTCATCCAGACGCTCACTCAGAACCCGGGTGCCTTCGGCACCCTGGCTCCGGCTCACCCCCAGATCGGGGAAAATATCATACTTCCCCCTCTGCCACACCCCTTCGGAAATCCCACCCCTCGGGTGAGAAACGACGAAGGGGTGGTGGCCCAAGATACGTCCTCCCAGGAAGTTCAGTCCCGGGACCGCCATAATGACAACAGGGAAAGGCCCCGTACTTCCGCCCTCAACCGGCTCGGAGGAGGGCCAGACCGTCGAGGGGTCCAAGACCGCCTCGGGGGGAAAGCACTCCAAAGGCCCCAGGAAAGCGGGGGATCTGTTTCGAGGGCAGACGAGGAGCGTCCCCCTCGGGACAAAGGCAAGGCACCCCTTCATGCCGATGACGCTCGCCACCAGATCAACCAGGCCCACTCGGCCCGAGTTCGTTCGCAGGGGGCGGAGACCCTCCCGAAGGATCCCCGGGACGAGATTATTGCGGCCCTCCAACGCCGGCTTGACGAGATGGAGTCCAACAAAGCTCACGCCACCACCTCCACCCCTCATTCAGATCTCAAATACGAGGCCATGATGGCCAAAATGGAGGAGTTACAGAAGAAGGCGGCCGAGGGCTCCGGAGAACCCGTTATCCAGCTCCGGACTCGGACGCCATTTACCCCAAGGGTATTGGCGGCCCGGATCCTGGAGAAATACCGAGGGCAACACATACAGCCCTACAACGGGAAGACGGACCCCCAGGAACATTACAACAAATACCAGAACAGCATGATGATGGTAGGAGCGTCAGACGAATATTTGTGTCGTTGGTTCCTCTCCACCTTAGAGGGACCGGCATACGAATGGTTCAACAGGCTGCCCGAGGGCTGCATTGATTCGTGGCAAGAACTCGCCCAACGATTCTTGACACAATTTGCCGGGAGGCGTCGCACAAGGAAGCACTTCTCACACCTCCTAACAATACGCCAGAATAAGGATGAGACCCTTCGGGATTTCCTAGAGCGCTGGAGGACGGAGGCCGACAAGGTCGACGATGTTGATGACGGGACCCTCCTGGCCCTCCTACAAACCGTCCTCCGCACCGGCAACTTTTCAAGGAGCCTCATCATTGAACCCCCCCGCGACTACATAAGGGCTTTGCAGCGGGGGGACCGATATGCTGAGGCCGAGGAGGTGGAGAAGTATCACCAGCATCCGGACCAGCAGCCCCCGAGGGCTGACAACAAGCATAACCGAGGGCCGGGGGCTCCTCCAAATCACCCCAAGACTTCGGGACCCTCTGATGACCGCCCTCGGCAAGGCCAAGCCAAGCCCGGGGGAGGTTATAAGGGCAACCCTAAGACTTGGGCACAGCCCATTCTCCTAAACCGCCCTCGGACACCATTGACGCACCCCGTCAGCATCATCCTCGATTTTGCCGAGGAGAGGGGCCTCGTTGAGCGCGACTCTCGCGCACCCCCGGAGGTACACGCTATCAACCCTCAGTTCCCCTACTGTCGCTTCCATCGACACCAGGGGCACATGACCGATGACTGCCATCAGCTAAAGACAGCCATCGAGAGGTTAATACAAGCAGGGCACCTGTCCCAATTTGTTCAGAGCCCTCGGCAGGAGGGACCTTCTCATCAGGGGCCTCCCCGAGGGCACCACACGAAGGTAAATGCTTGGATAAACCCGAATACCATCCCCCTCGGCAAGAAGAGGGAGATTGGAAACTTGGAAGAAGAGGAGGAGGAATACCCCCACTACCAGGAGGCGATTCCACCAGCCAGCGAAAGAAGTGGGCTCAATCGCTTTACGTGGGGGAAGTCACTCATATGCCCCCGGTAAAGAGACTGAGGGAGGAACCCATCACCTTCACCAACGCGGATCTCCCTCCTGCTTCTTCTCCTCACAGGGATGCCTTGGTGATTCGGACGGAGATAAACGACACCATCATTCATCGAACTTACATTGACACGGGCAGCTCCGTCAATGTAATGTACCTCAGCACCTTCAGAGAGCTGCATCTGGAGAGGGGGTCCCTTCGGCCCATTAAGACCCCTCTTGCCGGCTTCACCGACGATACTATTGATTCTGAGGGGGTAATAACCCTCCCGGTGATCTTCGGCGACGGGCTCCATAGAGCCCAGCTCGAGGTGGAGTTCGTCGTCGTCAACATTGACTGCGCCCACAACATCATCCTTGGCCGGCCAGCCCTCGAGGACCTCGTAGCCATCATCTCCATGAGGCACCTCTGCCTCAAGTTTCCCGCCGAGAGGGGCATTGGCTACTCCCGGGGGAACCAGAAAATTGCCCGCGCCTGCTATCTTCAGGTCACTAAGAAGGTAAGCAAGACGGAATTCCGTGTTGACACCATCACTGGAACAATCGACCAAGAGGAAAGAAGGCCGAGGGCTGAACCGGCCGAGGACGTAGGAGACTTTGCGCTCGATCCGGCCCAGCCGGAGAGAGTCGTGAAGATTGGAGCCCAGCTCCCTGAAGATTTGAAGACCGGTATCACCGACGCCCTCCGCGCCTACTCCACTGTCTTTGCATGGGGGCCGGAGGACATGCCGGGAATCAGCCGAAGGGTCATCACCCACCGCCTCTCGGTGGACCCCTCGGCAAAAGCAGTACAACAACGAAGGAGACCCCTCTCCCCCGAGAGGAGGGAATTCGTGAAGAAGGAGGTCGCCATGCTCCTCTCAATTAAGCACATCAAGGAGGTGAAATACCCCTCATGGCTCGCAAATGTAGTCCTCGCACAGAAGCCCCCTACCTTCCGCATGTGCGTGGACTACACCGATCTCAACAAAGCGTGCCCTATGGATCCATTCCCTCTACCAAACATTGATCAACTGGTGGATGAGACCGCAGGGTGTGAGATCATGTCCTTCTTCGATGCCTTCCGAGGGTACCACCAAATTTTCATGCACGAGGAGGACGCCGAAAAAAACTGCCTTCATGACTCCCGAGGGCATCTTCTGCTACCTAGTGATGGCCTTCGGCCTAAACAACTCGGGGGCCACTTACACCCGGATGGTGGCCCGGGTCTTTCAAGCCGTCCTAGGGCGCACCATGGAGGCCTATGTTGACGACATGATCGTCAAGAGCAAACAATCTTCCAGCCATGCTGACGACCTCCGGGAGATCTTCGCCATCATGCAAAAATTCAACCTTCGGCTAAACCCGAAGAAGTGCACCTTCGGCGTCCAAGGAGGCAAATTCTTGGGCTACATGGTGAGCCGAAGGGGTATTGAGGCCAATCCCGAGAAGATCCAGGCCATCATCAACATGGAACCCCCACGCAATGTGAAGGAAGTCCAACGGTTGACGGGCCACCTGGCAGCCCTCAACCGCTTTCTATCTAAATCGGCGGAGAAGTCTCTACCCTTCTTCCAGATCATGAGGAAGACGGCTGGTTTTCTATGGACTCCAGAATGCCAGGGGGCTTTCGACGAGCTCAAACGATATCTATCTTCACCTCCTGTGCTCTCCAAACCCAAGGTAGGGGAGACCCTCTACCTCTACCTTGGGGTCAGCCCTGCGGCCATCAGCTCTGTGCTCATCCGGGAGGAAGACGGGATCCAACATGCCATCTTCTACGTTAGCAAGACCCTAAGGGAGGCCGAGCTTAGGTACTCCCCTGTGGAAAAAACAGTGTTAGCCATCGTTTGGACTGTCAAGAAGTTGGGCCACTACTTTCAGGCTCACCCGGTTCAGGTCCTCACTCACCAACCCCTCGGCGCCCTCATGAGGAGCCCCACCAGCTCCTCCCGCATGGTGAAATGGGCTATCTTCTTGAGCCAGTACAACATTGACATCCGTCCAAGGCCTGCCATCAAGGGCCAAGCCCTGACGGACTTTGTGACGGAGTGTACCGCAAGGGCAGCCACGGACGGGGAGCCCTCGGCTACCTCGGACGACTGGTGGACCCTCTACACCGACGGCTCCTCCGCGACCAAAGCATGCGGGGGAGGGGTAGTCCTCATTACTCCCGAGGGGTTCAGAGCCTACTATGCAATCCGCTTCTCCTTCAAAGTCTCCAACAACGAGGCCGAATATGAGGCCCTCCTATGTGGCCTTCGGCTGGCTGCCAACATGAGGGCTCGGCAGATCCACATCAAATGCGACTCCAAGTTGGTCGTGGGCCAAATCTCCGAGGAATATGAGGCCAAGGAGGGGAGAATGAAACAGTACAAGGAAGCGGCCAAGGAGTTGCTTAAGGTATTTGAGGCACACTCTCTCACTCAAATACCGAGGGCTCAGAACTCCGAGGCCGACATATTATCTAAGCTCTCGGCCGACTCCCCCGAGCACATCTCCAAAATTGCCAAAATCGAGGAACTCAGCCTCTCAAGCATCCATGCAAGCCCCGTTATGAACATACAACAACGTCAAGAGGATTGGATCTCAGATATCACCACCTTCATCTCCACAGGGCAGCTACCCGAGAATGTGGCC